AATTGCTCCCTTCAATCCAAATCATTGAGCCTAAAGAAGACTATTCTTTCAATTTACCTTCCCCGAGTAAATCGTTAAATTTTTCTTTGGCCCTGGTCAATTCATGGACATTGTGTACCTCAACTCAGGCTAAAATCCTAAGTTGAGGGTGGCTACTTCAGAGTTGTTAACCTTTGTTTTGGCACTAGTCCTTCCCGGGACATTGTGCACCTCAACTCATGCTGAAAACCTAAGTTGAGGGTGGCTATTATGGAGGAAAATAAGAAAAGAGAGGGGTATGAAAAGAATTGTGTGTAGAGAAAAGAAGAAAAACACCTGAGATGGTGTGACTAAATATAAAGATAAAAGAATGAAAAGCTCAAATGAAAAAAAAATGAAGAAAAGTTGAATCAAGCAAGAAAATCAAGTCAAAGCACACCCGAGCTTCAATAAATAATACGAAGAAAGGCAAAAAGTAAGATGATGTCAGGATTGGTTTTATAAGAGGAAAATAGCCGATGTAATGTCAAGGAGGGCAGATAAGTCACTTAAATTCTAAATTTACCATACCTGACCCCGAGCATATGTTACAAGCTAAGAAAGTCCTTTAGTGATCATAATCTAACGATTTGAAAATTGAAATGTAGAAAATAAGGGCAGGCCTATGGTATTGTGTTGAATTTGATTATGAGTGTGAGCATATATTAAGTCCCTAAAATGGAAGTATAATTCAAATTCTGTGTGAACAAAGGGATTTCTTTGCGGCGAGGGCACAAGTTACATTATTGAAGAGTTAGTACCTTGGTGATTATTATCTGTGTGTGTGAATATATCTATTGGTACATCTATGTTATATATTAATTCGCATATGTTGATTTGTTGTTGAACATAATAGTTGCAATGTGCTAAACATTTATAAAGGAAGGTTGATTTTTAACAGAATAATTGCATTGTGCTAAACATAGCTTGAGTTTTTGAGCTGCTTCTGCATAGTGTCATTTAGAATAAATAATGTCGTTTTGAATTTTTTGTGTCACATGAGGACACGTGATGATTTTAATTTGAGGGTGTTGATGTACTGTTGATTTACGGTACTTTTAATGCTTTAAACTTAGAGTTTTACGTGCGTCTTAAGGGTGTTGATGTACTGTGGATTTAGTATTTGACGACTTGACCTATGAGCTGTAGGATAGTCTACGATCCGTATGAATGAGCCGTGATTTTGAAGAGTTAATTTATGTAGCTAAGTGTAAAACGACGAAAGGTACTAACGAGCCGTAGTCCCTTCTACGAGTTGTACACACGAGTCGTAGAAAGGTTCAGAGAAGTTGAGCTCCAATACTTGGTTGACGAGATGACATGACAGTTCGTACTAAGTTCTACAGGTTGTAGAACATGAATCGTAGAAAATTCCAAAAGAAAATTGAAGCTGCTATTTTTAATGGACGATTCCTACAAACTGTAAAACATCCTACGGGCCATAGGATTGAACTGTAGCGACCACTGCCCAAAACCAAATTTCTTCAGGTTCCTTTTCCTACTATGTTTAGGATTTGATGTCTATAAATATTAGTTGTAATATTTCATTTTCGGGTTGTTAGACGATTTGAGACCTTTTGTTTTGGCTTTGAGAATTATCTTGCATACATTTTTAGCATTTAATTATTAAAATGTTGGTTTATATAAATTTTGTTTCTGTTCATCAATTCAAGATTTCAAACTTCATCAACCCTAATTGTAAGTTCATGATTTATTCTATTAACTATATTATGAATTTTGATCACCCAAGCATGAGTAGCCAAATCCACAACTAGGGTTGTGGGAACCATGAGTAATTAACAAAGTATACCTAATAATTAAGTAATTCTTGAAAAGTGTTTATGCATGAATTGTTGATCTCTTCGTTTTGAATGTTTTTTAATAGTGCAACATTAGAACTCGCCTTATTCCTACTTGACCGACCAAGGAAGTAATGAATGGGAAAAGAGATAAAACAACGTATATTTAGTGTTTATAATCCGCTATCTAATATCCTAACCCAAATATGTGAGGGCTAATTTAGGGTCAAGGGTAAGGGATAGTAAAGCATACACTCGTAGACCGACCAAGTTGCGTGGTGAAATTTCCTACTTGGATGACTAATCACTTAGGAGATACCTATCTTACCGACTTTGCATGTCAAACAGTAGGAATAAGTTACTATTATAAAGGTTTACTGCGTTAAGAACTTGTGGGAAACATATATATCCTAGTTTCATCTCATATTGATAGTACAAACTGCGAATCATGTTACTTGGTTACTTGTTACGAAACATTAATCAATCTTTTCTTTGTGTTACAAAACTCCCCCTTTTATGGAAATAATCTAGCTAAAAGTACAATTAACAGTAAATTTGCCTAAGTTTAGATCATATTCCTCGTGTTAGGTTCTTTATTTGACAACGACCACTTATACTTCTTTAGGGAAGTGTAATTTGGGTGTATCAGTGGTGCACGATGATATGTGGCATGAATGACATAATTGTGCATTGTTTGTCATCATAAAAAAGGGAAAAATTGTTGAAAAATAGGACAATATGTATGTAGTTTTGATGATTGACAAAGTGAACCTGATGTACTACTTTTTGTCTTATGCATACTTACCAAGTGAATAAAAAACCAGGTCCCCAAAACGCGAAATGGATAGCTTGTACAAATATAAAAGATTGCAACAAAAGAAAATAAATAAATTGCATAAATAAAAGAGCAAAAAAAAAGTGAAATAAATAGCTCAAATAAAGGAGCAAAAGGGGAAAGAAATAAAGAGCACAAATCCAAAGAGGAGTCAAAGTTTCCTTATAAGATGAAACTTCTTTTAAGGAAAGAAATCCAAAATTTCCTTATAGGAAGTCAAGTCCTATTTGAAGTAAAAATCCTAGTCATTGATATACTAGATAGGGCATAGCGAATCTTCAACACACACACACATATGAAGACCATTGACAGCCGCACTTATTACATATCCACAAAATTCATTATCTTGAGAGCGATAGTCATTGGAAAAAAACTACAGGACTTCGTCATAGCAATACTGAAACCTGCTTCACGAGTTGTGTTCGAGTCTATACTATAGAATATTAAAGTTTGATTAGTTAAAGACTAGAGTTATTTTATTTTTTTTGAGTTCACTAGTTGAAGTAAATTGATGAGTTATTTTGTGTGATGTTTTGGCAGTTAAGGCTAGGTTATTAGTCTTTATTGAGTTGTTCTAGGGTTATTATTGACTTGTAATAATTTCTAGATCGAAGTGAGTAGTTGTGTGGGTGAGGTTTGTAACAAAAAGTGAGTTTTATTTCTTGGAGAGTAGTTAGAATGGTTAGAGCAATTGTTTAGTTGAAGTACTAGAGTTTGTCCCTTAGGTTAGATAGTTGAGTTGTAATCTAAATCGTTGCTCTTGAGAAGTTAGTGGAGATTTGTGGTTGAAATCCTACGCAGTGTAGGTCGTAATTTTTTACTCCCTTGAGCAAATAGTTTTTCATGATAAATTTGTGTCTTGTTAATTTTATTTCTCTACTGCTTAATGCGTCTATAGGAACAAGTTCTGAATATGTGCAGTGGGGTAAATAAATTCTTTCAATGTATCTAAATGATGAGGAAACACAACATTTGAGGAATTTTGAAGAGCCATTGGCAATCAGAGGACAACAAGAACCATCAGATGCAAGAACCACAACCACAAGCTAAGTGATGGAATAAAGCCTTTAGTGGCATTTATATAAAGTACTGGTTATAAATATTTATCTTTATTATTGACACTAAATATAATATAACAAAAATTAGTTGATTGACTCTATACCTTTATTTGTGGTAGTGAAGGTTCAACAAAAGATTAAACAAGTTAATCTCAAAGCTACTCACTGCCTAAGAGAGGCAGCTAAAGTAGTGAGTCTTTGGCAAAGCCAGAAATGAATAATCAGAAGAATAGTAGAAAAATAAGGGATGCCTATTCACCACAATTGAAAGAAAGTGTTGAAGGAAAATTATGTCTAATTACATTTTTTAATCTTTTGATGTACCTTAGTTCCTTTATAAATTAGTGTAAGAGGAGAGTCTCCCTTATTTATGTCAAAATGTAAATAGGAAGAGTCGTTGTCCCGTGTTAGTTGTTAGGTTTGCATATATCCTACACACCTGATAAGATGAGCCTATGCTCTCTAGGGATGGGGAGGCAAAGTCGTAGTCCTCCTCTTATGTGTATTTTTTTTATTTTGAATGATAATATTTAAGGTAGGAGTCAATGACAAAGCCATGTAACGACATGCTAGTATGAAGTGTAGGATTAACTTTAATTAAAAAAGAAACTTATAAATTTTCCTATGTTAAAACTGTTGAATCCCTTTTACCAATGAAATTTTATGATATAACATTCTAAAGGTTTATAGTTTGAAATGTACGTGTACTTTTCCATTTTCTGGAAACATTACTAATTTATAATAATAATAGATAGAGGGTAATCTTTGGGTGAAATATTTAGAAGATATTTGAATTAAAAGAATAATATAACATATAGTTTTTTCAAAATAACTTTTCAACTATAGGTTGGAAGTATGTTACCCTATTACTGATAAATGAACAACTCAGATTAACATACTAGTCTAGTCATATAGTGTTCAATAAAATAGAAAGTAGAGAATACTATGATTGCAAAATAAACAGAACCGAAGTCGAATTTCATTCGAATCCTTTTTATTTAGAATATTACACTAAATCCGTAAGAAAAAGCATTACAATCTCAATAAGCAAATCTCTCAAAAGAGAAACACCAATTGATTACAAAGTTCAAACGAGACAAGATGCAATATCATGCAATTATTGTTAAGTCAAACGTGTTTTAGGAGGAGGTATAGATGTTTAATGATAACCATGAGATTTCAATGGTAGTGGAGGTGGGTTGTAGTACTAGAGTTGCCGACCAATGGAAAATGGGGATTTCGGAAATCGGAGTGGAGGTAGTGGTGGAATAATTATTTGAAATGGAGGAGGCGGGAATTTAATCGGAGGTGGTGGAGATGGAGAACGTGGTGGAGGTGGAGATGGCAATGGAGGAGGCGGAGACTTAATTGGAGGTGGTGGAGATGGAGATGGTGATGGAGGAGGCGGAGACTTAACTGGAGGTGGTGGAGATGGAGAAGGTGGTGGAGGTGGAGATGGCGATGGAGGAGGCGGGGACTTAATGGGAGGTGGTGGAGATGGCGATGGAGGAGGCGAGGACTTAATTGGAGGTGGTGGAGATGGCGATGGGGGATGTGGGTTCTTAACTGGAGGTGGTGGAGGTGGAGATGGAGATGGGGGAGGCGGGGACTTAACTAGAGGTGGTGGAGATGGTGATGGAGGAGGTGGAGACTTAACTGGATGTGGTGGAGATGGAGAAGGTGGTGGAGGTGGAGATGGAGGAGGGGGGGAGTTTATTAAAGGTGGTGGAGGAGTACAATTAGGTGGCGGAGGTGGAGTTCGCAACCAGGGATATGGTAATGGAAAAGGGAATAAAGATGGTGGATGAGGAGATTTATTATTGCAAGGCGGAGGTGGAGGTGGAGGTGGAGATGGCGATGGAGGAGGTGGTGGGGATGGAGAAGGTGGTGGAGGTGGAGACTTAACTGGAGGTGGTGGAGATGGAGAAGGTGGTGGAGGTGGAGATGACGATAGAGGAGGTGGTGGAGGTGGAGATGGCGATGGAGGAGGTGGTGGAGATGGAGAAGGTGGTGAAGGTGGAGATGGTGATGGAGGAGGTAGGGAATTAACTGGAGGTGGTGGAGATGGAGAAGGTGGTGAAGGAGCATTACAATTAATAAATGGTGGAGGCGGAGGTCGATTAAAGGGATATGGTAGTGGAAAAGGGAATAAAGATGGCGGGGGACGATATTTATTATAGCATGGTGGAGGCGGAGGTGTAAGTGAAGGAATAGGGGTCCTTATTGGAGGTGGTGGAGATGGAGACGGATATATAGGTGGAGATAAGGATGGAGATGGAGATGGTCCATCGAGAGGTGTAATCAATGGTGGTGATAGAGATGGAGATGGTCCATCGGTAGGTGCAATCAATGATGGTGATGGCAATGGAGATGGAGATGGGCCATCAGTAGGTGCAATTAATGGTGGTGATGGAGATGGAGATGGTTCATTGATAGGTGCAATCAATGGTGGTGATGGCAACAAAGATGGAGTTGGAGATGGTTCATCGAAAGGTGTAGTTAATGGTGGTGATGGCAACAGAGATGGAGATGGAGATGGTCCATCGGTAGGTGAAATCAATGGTGGTAATGGCAACGGAGATGGAGATGGTCCATCGATAGGTTCAATCGATGGTGGTGATGGAAACGGAGATGGAGATGGAGATGGTCCATCGGTAGGTTCAATTAATGGTGGTGATGGCAATGGAGATGGAGATGGTCCATTGGTAGGTGCAATCAATGGTGGTGATGGTAGTAGAGATGGAGATGGAGATGGTCCATCGGTAGGTGCAATTAATGGTGGTGATGGCAATGGAGATGGAGGTGGAGATGGTCCATCAGTAGGTTTAATCAATGGTGGTGATGGCAATGGAGATGGTCCATCGGTAGGTGCAATCAATGGTGGTGATGGAAATGGAGATGGAGATGGAGATGGTTCATCAACATATGTAGTCAATGGGGGTGATGGTAATGGAGATGGAGGTGGTGATGGAGGTGGAGAATGGATTGGTGGTGGTGGTGGTGGATTATGGTAATAAGGTGGTGGTGGAGGATTATGGTAATAAGGTGGCGGTGGAGATGAAGAAGGCGGTGGTGGAGGATTATGGTAATAAGGTGGCGGTGGTGGAGATTCGTAATGATATGGTGGAGGAGGAGAATGGATTGGTGGTGGTGGTGGAGATGGAGTAGGTGGTGGTGGAGATGAAGAAGGCGGTGGTGGAGGCTTATGGTAATAAGGCGGTGGTGGTGGAGATTCGTAATGATATATTGGAGGAGGAGAAAGGATTGGTGGTGGTGGTGGATGATGGTAATAATTTGGCGGGGGGGGGGGGGGGGGGGGGGTGGAGAAGGCGGTGGTGGAGATTTGTAATAATGTGGAGGAGGTGGTGATGGTGATGGAGGTGGAGGTGATTTATAATAGTGATGGCGTCGCAGAGGCGGTGGTGGAGGTGATTTATAATAGTGATGACGTCGCGGAGGTGGTGGTGGAGGTGATTTATAATAGTGATGACGTCGTGGAGGAGGTGGTGGAGGCGATTTATAATAGTGATGACGTCGTGGAGGAGGCGGCGGAGGCGATTTATAATAGTAATGACGTCGTGGAGGAGGAGGCGGGGGTGATTTATAATAGTAACGACGTCGTGGAGGAGGTGGTGGAGGCGATCGTGGCCTATAACGGTATGACAAAGATGATGAATCATCAATGTGAGGCTTATAATCAGCTGCTACACTAATAGCTATCAAGCAAAAGGCAAAAGCATAAACAAGAAGGGGCCATTGCCACAACTTTGATGGTGTTCCCATATTGGAACTAAACTAGTTTGTTGTTTTTGCAACATTGATGGAAGAATTAGCTCTTTATATAGCAAGACACCCAAGCATTTGATAAAGACAAGTTTATTTTTATTTTTTTTGTAAAAAAAGTAAACTGGCTCAAAACATTTAGAAAAACAAATATGGTTCATTTGGAAGAGGAAAGTGCAAAGTACAAACTGGCCAAATGATCTTTGAAAAATACACACCAAGTATATAGAATCTCATCTTAATTATTATGAAATAGAGTCCTACTAAACTATGGGTTTAGTTCATGGTAGACTATGAATTAGTCAAGATCAAGAGCATGTATCATTGTTTTGTATTTGCACTTTACATATAAAAAAATTTGCCAACTTATAATGGCATTTAGATTTTGTAAAAGCACTAATAATAACGCATCTATGCGTTTATAAAAAATAAGTATATATATATATATATATATATTTGATTAAAAATTATTTATTTTAAAAAATGCTTTTCTCAGAAAGGATTTTTCAAAAATATGTACTTTTGGTGATAAGCAACTAATCAATTTAAAAGGCACTGATTAAATAAGAGTAATTAGTTTTTGGTCAAATTTAGAAAAATATTTTTAAATATTTTTTTTAAAAGTGCTTTTTAAAATGATCTTTTTGGGAAAAACTAAATTTAAACAATAAATTCTATAACGTCTTAGAAGAGTAAAAGAGAATAAAAACAAAATTATACATAATAATAAATTATGACAATAAGGAAGAGAAATGAATATTATTATTATTTTTTAGAATCTTTTTTTTTTTTTAAAAAATAGAAGGTGAAAAAAGAAGAATTTAAGAAAAAGTGATAAATTATAGTAATGTGAGGAGAGAGACAATTAAGGTATTTGATTATTTTTTTTACTGATTTTATAGATCAATAGAAAAGAAAAACTCTAAAGAAGAAAAAATTGTTCAATAATAATATATATATATATATATGGTAAATAAGATTTTTCATTTTTTTAAAATTATAAAAATAGAAGGTAAAAAAACTAATTTAAGAAAAAATATTAAATTATAGTAATGATAAGAAGAGGTGAAGAAGCAATAAATTGTAATAATGATAAGAAGAGAGATAAATATATTTATCATAATCATAATATAAGGTGAGTACTATAACTATATTAAAAAAATATTAAATTAGATACTATTTTATAACTTCTTTTTGAGTTTCTTAAACACAAAATATAAATAAAAAAATATTTAAAAGTCAAGAAAAGGAGAAAAGGGATAATTATGACTCTTGATCAAAATATATTTTATTTTTACATATTTTAAAGATCAAGAGAAAAAAATTAAAGAAAAAAGAGAAATTTTGTGAATAATAATAATATTTAAGATATTTGTTTTTCTTCAAATTTTATAAATCAAAAGAAAGAAATAATTAAGGAAAAAAGAATGTTTTGTGAATAAGAATAATTAATTATAATGATAAAGGGGAGAGATAAAAAGATTGTTATTTTAAAAAACTATAAAAAAAAAGGTAGAAAAAAAATATTAATAGTAATGATGAGGAGAGATAGAAAATATTTGATATATTGTAATAATGGTAAGGAGATAGATACATAAGATATTTTAAATATATATATTTTGTGAATATTATAAATCAAGATAAAAAAAATCAAAATTAACAAAAAGAGATAAATGATAATGAAGTGCAATATTACATCATTCTTTTATCCGTTACCTTTATATTTTTCTAAACTGTGATATCAATCTTCAACGATAACCCAAAAATAATGTTCACATATAATTTATTTTATTCATATTTATACGTAATTGATCATTTGTAAAATTAACTCTTTTTATTTTATTTTTTTTAAAAAAAACAAACACTTCCTATAATATATTTAATATTGTATTATATATATTATTTTAAGTGCATCAAAAATTCACCCAAACGATTATTACTCAACTAAAAGAAAATATTTGTTATTAAATTACAAGTATAATCAATAACAAAAAAATTCATACTACACCGTTATTAATCATTACATTGTTTAAATTACGATTTAACAATAACTAAAATTTGAAATTTAATCTATATATTTGAATTTAAAAACTAAAAAGAATCCTTCAAATATTTTTGATATTCAAATATAAGAAAGATTTTAAAAATATATTTGATTAATATTTTTCTCATCGCGCGAAGCGCGAACAGATTCACTAGTTATACAATATATATAAGTCAAACAGAGCGTACCGATATAAATGTTGCGTTTTTTTTGTAAAATAAGTGATGACTAACAAATGTAAAAGTTCATTTAATTGTGTGTTAACGTGCACATTAAGGAAAAAAAGAAACTTAATTACTTAAATTTCACTAGTTTAGGAGCTAATTACTTAGATACGCTAGTTTGTAATATGACGATCTTACATGCATCTAGATACATGTATCTGGATACATAACAAAAATTCCGCTCGCCTTCCTCGCCTCTCTCCCATCTCGCTCGTCACTCTCCTATGTATCCGGGATACAAGATACAAACGAATCACACCAGATACATGTATCTGGTGTGATTCGTGTGTATTTGAGATATATACCAAATCTAGCTCGCCACTTTCCTTATTTCAGTGTATCTGGTAGCAAAAACACATGTATCTAAGTGTATCTTTCTCAATATATGATAGAAAACTCTTAATTAGTGATAACATACGTAATATTTTTAAATTATAAGCAATAGCAGTTAAATATGTCTAATTATGTCGTTTCTCTTATGAAAAATGATTAATACAGACATATAGGGCTTCTAATTATAGTTCCCTGAACTATTATTAGCTAGGGTTATACTAATCTCAAACTATAATAAGTAAAAGTAAACAAAAACCTAACTCCTTGCTTGTTAATTTCATCATTTCCCCTTATTAGAACCTAATCAATAGAAGGGATCCATAAAAGATAATAATGAGGATCAACTCCAGTACAATTAGCCTCATTACTTTTCAATGGAGTATCGGATGGCTGCCACGTGCTTAAAACAAAATTAAAAGGCTGAGATTTGCTTTATATTTTTTTCATAACTCAATTAACATTAAATAAATGTTTGTTAAATATAATAGTAAAAAAAATGTTTGAAACATGTCGAAAAAAATAAATTACATTTTTTCTCTACTCTTTTTCAAATTACAAAAATCTCTAAAAATTTATGAATTTCGGATACATCATTGGAATTTCGGATACATCACTGGACTTCCGAATACATTAGCAGACATCCAGATACATATGTGATGGATGTATCAGAGAGGGGAGTGATGTATCAGCGAGAGAAGAGTGATGTATTCGAGATGACATTTTTGAAACCTTTCTGAATGGTAGGAAATTTTAGAAATATGATAAAATAAGATGTGTATTTAGGTAATTTTTCCAAAAAGGTATAAGATCATAAAAGATCTAAAATTTTAAATTTAATTGATTCAAGAATATTAAAGACTTATAATATAATTATAAGTTGGATTAGAACTAACGAATGTGTATGTCATGACCTAGACCGCCGTGATTGGCACCCACACTAATCCTCTGGTGGGAGAACTGTTACTACAACCTGACTAAGCAGCTTAAGAAACTAAAACACTTAAAGATATAGAAGCAGGTTTAAATGGCGAATGAAATATGGAGTTCCCATAAATTCTGAAAGTTTAACAAAAACAACTAACATAATCATCGCGAAAATTCTACCCCTAGAACCTGAAAGTCATTGTACAAAAACTCTACAATTCAACAAGTCTAAGGAAAGGGGGTGCAACCCCGAAAAACTAAACATAAGTAACATGTCTAAAACATCTAGTCTGAGTCCGAAAAGAATGGACTAAATTAAAGATGGATCCACGGCAACTTGAAAGAACTGGCCCACCCTCAAATTCGATCTCGGTCAATGATCTCCTAGCTGAGGTCAGTCAGTAGCCTCCTGAAGATGCCCAAAAAGAAATACCAAGTGAAGTATCGGTACATGAAACCACGGTGTACTGATAGGATCACGCGGCTACCCCAATAAGCGAAATATAAGCAAGTAATTACAACACAAGAAACACATATACATAATGCACAGTTCAATTATTATTTTAGGAGCAAGATACAATTTCCCCATATTGAAGACAGGTAGACAAGAATGTAATAATCACAAGTGGTCCTTTCATGGAACCCACACCCAAAATGTTAGTGTGTCGGAATGTGACACCCGATCCAATATACATGTGTCGGAACG